AGCATTATGCACCTAAGATGGGGACAAACCTACGCACGATAGGGCGAGGGACACCAGATTATTAGTGCTCGGTTTTGATTGGCTGACCGAAGCAGGCCAACATTTTGTCGGTAGCAGGGCATCCGATAAACGTGTTGTTCTGTTGCGGAGCTGCTGGCATTCCAGCACTTTCGCCTCGATGACGCTTTTCATCCGATTGCCGCCCTAGTATCAACTGTGACGGCATGTCTGTCCGTCCGCGGGGCGGTGAGTGTGCTGGTCTGGCATCTGGTATCCTCCAATTCGGAGGCACATCGTCGTCCGCTGTTCCATGTGGTATGGTTCCATTATGCGGTCACAGTCTGTTGTACGATTTTTTTCGCTTGAAGTGGCCTTGTCTATGATCTGATTTGCGACACGTTCTTTATTTAGTATTCTACCCTGCGTCCACAGTGAACTGCAGATTAAAGAATGAATACCGCTGGTACAGCCGTGCAAGCCACTGACAGGATTTCCCAAATGCACTGAAGTGAAAAGCTTACCGTTGTCGGATGCCACGAGCTGAATAGCCGTTTTGTCGCGTATGCTCGGACCAGTTTCCGGTCTCGCTGTGACTAGTGACCACAAAATCATCAGGATGTAGTGTTCTCATGAACGTAGTGCAACCGTCTGGCGTTGTTTCTTTACAAGCGGCATTGATGGTGTATTCCAAGAGTTGAGTTCACCAATCCAATCCAGGCCTTAGCGAATGAGGCCCGTACAGTTTGTAAGATAGCAAGCACCACTGGGTTGAGTCGCACTGGACAGAGAAGTTCAGTTTCCCTATTAGTTTGGGGTTTCCACCAGACGCATTGCGGGCGGTACATTTTGTCTTCCACTGGCAATGTTACAATAGCTTTCCAGACTCGTTTTAAAATCAGAGTGATGTCGGAACATGCATCAATTTGGAGGGTAACCAGTGTACCATTGATACTACCGTAACGAGTTTTCATCGCATGAGTGCACCTTTTGTGGGTTAGATGTTGGTGCGAGCTCCCGAATTAGTCCCTGCAGCATTCTTTGGGCCTTTTCGGCTGCAGTTTCTGCACATGTAGTTCCTGTAGGAATGCGTGAAAAATGCCATTCATCACAACTCCAACAGGGTGTAGACCGTTTTCTTGGACTTCATTTGGAATTTGGTTGCCTTTTGTGAGTTACTTTGCGTGTTATGTTATGCTACGGGAAGTGGGAATGTCCAATCATCTCAGCGTCAGCCTCAAGATTGATAAGATGCTAGAATTCAGTGGCAGATTTCTGAAGCGTCAACTCGATCCTGTTGAATTAGTTTTAGTACCCGGATTAGAACCTCTGCATCCCTTGGCGATTGAAGACTAATCACGGAAATGAGTCACTTGAATTGATTTTCGGTCATGGTGCTGAGCTGGAGGAGCTCACATTCTTTGTTTACCACGCTGGTATACGTGATGAAACCTTCAGTATCTCATTTGTTAATGTTGGAACACTAACCATGAATATTGGACCAAAACTTTGCTCGTCGAATATTTGGGCCAGGATCCTGACGGTATCTGACAATCTAAGGATACGAAAGAGTTTGGGACGTATGAAGTTTGTAAAACGAACATGTTCATCTATCCCAGGTTTTCGCAGCACCCGCTGCATTTTCTATGCATTGTCAGACTGATCTGGGCACCATCCAGGCCGGATATCACATTCCGTTAAAGAGGCTAAATCTCGCTAGGTTTCCGCCGTGTGTAACAGGTTGGTATCGGGATTTTGGGGTTTCTGCTGACGGAAGTTAAGTTAAAGTATTCGTATCTGCAGACCAAACAGTGGCACTACTTAAATTTCGGGGAGATATCCTAGCCCCTCCCAAACATTACTCGACGTGACTAATTATCAGGCGTCAGGTGAAAGTGAGCGTGGGAGCCGACCGTGAAGACTGCTGCACACCGAAATCCAAGGAAATAGAAGGGATTTGAAGATTCTCAGTTGGTCCCTGCGACCGGTCCCCGGAAACCACCTGTGGACGGAACAATCAAGGATTATAATGGAGTGACCATCTGGAGTAAAAAGGAACGCGTCGACCGGTGGGACGAATTCTTCGAGCAACGGCTATGGTGGCCACCAGCCGCCACTTACCTGGAGCCCATAATGGACGTAGAACCCTGGGCAGTCAACGTAGAGACCCCTGTGGTGTCGGAGGCTTATGATCGTATATGTTCTCTCAAGCGCCGTCGAACTTCTGGTCCGGATTACCTCTCACCTGCACTGCTCAAAAATGGGAGTAAACTCCCCAGTCAGTGCTTGTCTACTTAGTTTGCGTACATTTGGGAAAAGGGGACTGTCCGAGGCAAACAGGGAGGGTCGTTGAAAGTTCCCATTTTCAAAAAAGGGGCTCATAGTGAGTGTGGTAACTACAGGAGGATCAGCTTAATCTAGATTGTAATGAGACTAGCGGCGTCACTTGTGCTTCGTCGCCTCACGATGGCTTGGGAGAGAAGCGAACGGGTTACCGGCCTGGTAGGGATTGCTAGAACAACGCCACACAAACAAACGACCCGCAATTTGAATTTTCTTGGATTTCCCATGCGCATTCGAGTCGGTTGACTGTCCTGTTCTTGATTCGCTTGCCCATCAAAGAATGCCCCGTATTCAAAGCGGTGTTCATCGGAGTACCCACTCTCTCAAGTCCTATTTAATTTCGTGATCAATTAGCTAGTGAGACGAACGTTAAGTCTCCATATCCTGGTGCTCAAATAATCTGTGATACTACCAGGTTGCCCAAGCCTACACAGGAAATCCAGATGGAGAGTTGGAGTTCAAACCACGGGCCTTCAGGTCAGTAAATTTGCGCTCTAACCACCGAGCCATCTCGACCCCGATTGCAAGAAATGGTGACTGATCGATGTCAGAGTGTTCGTTTTGTCAGTTTATTTTCGGATTGTTTGGCTGAGCGCTTGAAGATGTAGTCACCGCGAATCAGCACGACGTTTCTCCATCCAATCTTCCTTTTTTTCGTTTTAAGGCTTTAAATACAATCATAAATTTTGTGGTTGTCCGGCAGTGAATTAGCTTTGCCCATCCCGATGTTGCCGTCGCTAATTTTCAAAATGCGTGGGCTAGAAATCGGACGGCAGTTGTTGGATTTAAATAGGTTCACCTCATCTTGGAATGATTAAGATTATGCATTTCTTCCGGATGACGAGGATGTTCCTGAAGAAGTCGGGGCAGGAGAAGCTTTCTGATGGTCGTAGGAAGTTCTGAGTTTGGGAATGGACTTAAGGTGGTTAGATGGTTTGGAGTTGTCGATACACGACATAACGGTGGGTACTCTTCGGGATGATTGTAGGTGTCAAGTAGTGGCTGGTGAATGATGATAATTTAATCTGGAGATCTGGATGAACTAAGTCAGACTTTTCACATTTTAATTGGTAAACGTTTAGGTTGTCATGGGAATCGAATATGGGGGAAGGAGGAAGAAAAGCTTCGGCTGACTGCGGACTATTGGCATTTGCACCAATATTGGGTTATTATACTCCATATGCTATACTATATGGTTGAAACATCACCTGCGACAGAAGCACCCTGGTGCAGGTGCGCACATGTGTATATCATTTGGAAAGCTGTTCAGAAGTGACGTTGAGTGCTTTGTTGGCTACATTGACTCCTGTAGTTTTTTGACACCGTTTTGCCAATTTTCTCGAAGATTGGTGATTAACTGAAGACCACAATCAGTCACAGTCGCTTCTCTTTCCAACGGACCACAGTATGAAGGTTGCACTCTAGCGAATGAAGTTGCACCGCACATCTTGAGAAGTTCAAAGAGAGCGTCATCTTGTCCTATGTTTTGATTCTTGATAAGCTCGCATGTGTCACATAATGATGGTTCACTAGACAGATAATGGTACATTACTATTTCTATTTCACCATTACGTCGTTCTATCCCACTCCCTGTCCCCCTGTTGTTAGAATCTAGGCTAGGATGATTTAGCAGAATCCTGGTTGGGTAACAGTTATTTGTCGGCCCTATTTTATCAGCTTTTCCCCAACTCTTTTATGATTTTATTTCTATCCTGCTTACGTATGAACAAGGTGTGATTGATCGAGCTTTTGTGCAACGCCTTGCGGTATCTGGTTACCCGTTATGTCAACCAATCGGTGGTACATTAATCCTTGTGGCTTTCCTTTACAGTTTTCCCGGGAAACCTGGATCTGTACCTGTGTTTTATGTCTGCCAGATGGATCACGTGAAGAAAAGTTTCATTGGGCTCGTTGCAGGAATTAATGGTTTGTGGTACTGTTGTAACCCACTGAACTCCCCTTTTGTCTTCTAGGTGGCATTGCGACAGTATACGTTGGTCAGCCCTTGGATACAATCAAGGTGAAAATGCAAGCTTTCCCTGAAGTATATTCTGACGCGTGGAAATGCTTCAAAGTAACACTGAAAAAAGACGGAATTGTTAGAGGCCTTTATGCCGGCACGGTGCCGGCATTGGTGGCCAATATTGCGGAAAACGCCGTTCTGTTTTGTGCACTACCTCCCAGTCAGCACCTTGTCGGTGTCCTTTGCGGGAAACAACCTCACGAGCACCTTACAAATTTACAACATGCATTCGCCGGAAGTCTTGCTGCGTTTTGGTCCAGTTTGACCATATGCCCAACGGAACTAGTCAAATGCAAAGTCCAGTCTATTCGTGAAATGACTGAATTAGGGCAGCTCCAAATCAAGCCTAAAGAGACGTAGGTTTCCTCTTCCGTCTTTCAGGGTGCTGATTTAGCTGAATTCAGCTTCTGCGTCCTCAGTGAAATGTTATAAATCCGCCATTTCTTTCCAGTAGGCTGGAGTGTGTCTTTACTTGTGCTTGGTGAATGATTCTCTACTTCGATGGTCCTCGGGGCGAGATGACTAAGTAGTTAGAGCGCGAATTTACTGGCTGGAGGGTCCGTGGTTCTAACCCGACCTCTGAATCTTGACTTACCTTGTCTAGGCTTGGGCATTCTGGCAGTATCCCAGCCTTCGTACTTCTTTCAGGTGGCATGGCAGCTAGGCATTGAAAGGGTGTTGCAACTGAACGATTTCGATAGTCCTCCCATTGCCTCTGGTTCTGTCTATTACCAGCGTACAAAACACGGGGTACCCCCACTTCCAATCCTCAGTTGACCAGCGTGGGAAGATACTGGCAACGCGAGCTCCATCTTGTTACGACACCTTTCAACGCCTGTAGCCAAGCGTAGGGGTGTCACATCCTGGACGTCTGATTACACTTACAACATGCAAATGTTTTGAAACGTCACGAGGGTTTAGATCAGGCATGCAGTTTACTCCCCTGACATTACTTAATCAATGGCTTTGGTCAGGGCCCTCAACGAAACCCTAGCAGTCCGTAAATCGCGGTCCAGAGGCTAGGGGAGGAGCCGGCGAAGATCCAGGAAATAGAGAAGACATTCGCTGCAGGTAAAAGCCGTGCCCTGTTTCGACTGATTCGGTCAACCGGCCAAAATAGAGCTTATGTCAGCGAAATAATATGTGGAGTTCCTCGAACATGGCATCTAGGGTGGTCACTGGCATCATTTTATGTGGGTTAATCTATTCTCGGGAGATACACACTCGTGGAAAGCAGGCTGAGTTTCACTTTGGCCGGGGACGCATCGACTGTATATTTATCTTAAGAGGAATTCTTGAATTCTTCGAATGTCCTACATCTGAAAGCTATGTTTGACTCCGCTGATCGTCACAAAGTTTGGCGGTTTCGGGTTATCAAAGGTGTTCCTTCGAAAGATATGTCCTTTGTGAAGGCACTATGTTCGAAATTCCATGGGCGTACGGGTATACAGCAAGCTTTTGCCGGAGTTCACCACTTCCAGTGAAGTGAGACTAAGTTGCCTTCTCTCATCGCTCCTGCTCAACTTTGTCGTATGCTGCTTGAAGTTTCTCTGTCTGCTTCTGGAACTGCGTGGGTCGAAGTACTCTCGGGACGTTCATTCACAGAAACTGAGTATGTGGATGATATTGCTCCCATGTGTTCGGATTTCAAATGACCTAAATATTTGCATCATAGTCTGATATGTGCTTCATGCGTGCAAAGTGTAAATTTCTGCTACAAGATTGGGTGGGATCAAAACCGAACCTCATGGTTGCGAACCAGCTGATCGACGTACTAGATCGATCGGCCTACCTAGACGGTTGTATAATTTCTGGTGGACCGGCTCGAGACGAGATTACTCCTCGAATCGGCAAAGCTGGAGCAGCTATGTTCAACCTCCGACACCGATGGCGCCGGTGCAACGTCAGTTTATCGAGGACATTGTCTATACTGCGACAGAGTGACCCACACTGCTTTGTGGATCAGAATCTTGACTCGTGCACGTAGAGTACGTAAAAGAGCTGCCATTGTTTGACCATTGTTTTTCCTAAGTGTCGGTGGTGTCCTGGTGGAAACATCGGACAAACAGCACTGAGTTAAGTCGAATGTTTCGGGTAAAAGGGACTTTCCCGCGATGGACGAGCTACTCATGCTCCATGTGTTGCGCTGGTTAGGACATGTACTTCGTACGCTTTGCAGAGCTCTTATTGCCCAGCCCTGTGCTGAGTGGAAACGACCTGTCGGTGGACAATATATAAAACGCTAACCAGTACATTCAGTCGGGTCGTCAGTTGCCGCCTTCCCGCCTTGAGACCTCAGGACTCAAATCACCAATGTTTAATAACGTGGTTGTCGTACATCAAAACTATCTTACTTAATGCATAAGTGCCCAATTTCCTGAACTAACTGATCATGCCATCGTATCCAACGCTTGACTGTATCTGCCACGCTGTCCAGTTTTCCGGTGCCTGAACGTGCTGTAGCTGGAACCTATGTACCTTTGGTGCGTAGATTATAGCTGATAAACTAAACTAAACTGAACTAGAGGAAGAGTCCGCAGCTAAAACCCTACACCCTTCCACGGCCTTGTACTTCAAGGTGGGGCCGCTCAAACAAACACCCTTTGGCCTGAGGAACCCGGAAGTACCATTCAGCCTTCAGCTCTTCATTCGTTGGCCCATTCCACCTCTTAGGGGAGTCTTTCGGATTCATTTGTCAGTTACCCGGCCGTTGCCCCGTATCGAAGCCCGTCTCCAGTAAAATATAACCTTAGTAACAATATTAGTGTTCCTTCACTTCAATACTACATTTGGTTGACTTGTTAGTTGTTTCTACCACGCTCGCGCAACAGGGTATGTCACATAAATTCCTGAATATCGTGAGCTCTCTGTATTCACATGTTAGGGGGGGCGTGAGAGTGTACGACGCGTTCTCCAAAAGCTTTCCTATGACCAGTGGTTTACGACAAAGATGTCTTCTCTTCCCGTTTTCGTTCAGTTCTGTTATTGATGAGGTAATGAGGCGAACACTGAAAGGTCTCCAAAAACCGCAGTTTTCTAATCTCCCTGAGTGAAAACCTTAGCGATCTGGAATATGCAAGTGACGATATGTTCTCATTTTTTTAAAAAAAAGAGCAGGAGGGACAAGCATTACTAAAAAACCTGACCAGGGTAATCCATTCATTTGATATGTGCATCCAGCCCACAAAATACAAAACCATGCCTCTAGGAATTAAAGGAGCTGTGGAGCACTACACGTGTCTCGTTTCTGACGTTAGTTTGGCAAACAACACGCGAATCTTGGAGGCTAGAGTTATTAGCGCCACTTATGGCGTCAAGAAGGAATCTCACTAGGTCTCAGAGAACTCGTTAATCAGACCACAGTACAGGCTGTATTGTTGTGCAGCTCCGGGACTTGGTCACTTCGGGCGAAGTATTCAAGACACGTTTGACTACTGATGTCTCAGAATTACCGTCACGAAGAGACTGGACCTTACCCAGCTCCGGGGGTCACTTCGGGCGAAGTATTCAAGACACGTTTGACTACTGATGTCTCAGAATTACCGTCACGAAGAGACTGGACCTTACTTACCTGTGACGGTTTGCGCACCTCAGCGATCCATCGAGCTATACTGGGGAGTGTCCCGCGACACTTACGGAGTCTCTCATACCAGGTTGGTCAATGGTTAGAGGTCTGACGAAAACAGTCTCCTGTCCGTCCAGGTTGGGGGTTGGAACATGTGGCGACTTGCTCCGTAGAAATGGTAATGTATTTGCGTTTCCCGCCAAACATCGCTGCCTTGCGGTTAGGCTTTTGAGCTAAAGGCTTTGGTTGTGGACCATATTTGTCTTCCTGTCTAGGTGTGGGTGCCCTGGCAGCATCCCAGCCCACGTACAACCATGAAATGCACATACACAAATAAACTCATGCCACATCGGCCGTCGCGTGGTGCCACCAGCCGGGTCGCCTTACTTGCTGCATACAGCAGGGCGGGTAAGCGAAAACAGGCTACTGCTGACGCCTCCCTTTCTCCTCCACATACTTTTTCTTCCCCCTCTCCCCACCCAATTAATAACTCTCTCCTTGTAGGCTCAGCACTTAGGACTGATGACTCCGTTCGTCATACATCGGTTTTGCGTGCAGCATCTGCTCGTCACATGGTGCCGACATCTTCAGGAATCTCTAGATCAGTCCTCAAGCCTCGACACCCACTCTATCTGGCCGCGTTCAATGTTCGCACTCTGAAGCAAGCAGGACAACAAGCTGCTCTTGCACTCACACTGGACTCGCTTGGCATTGATGTGTGCTGTGTCTCAGAAACGAGAATTCAAGATGCAAGCACAGTGATTGAGTTAACCGCCCCGTCAGTCTCCACTCGCTTCCGGCTACGCACCTCTGGTGA